TCCATTTTTCTTCGTTAAACGGGACACTTTTTTCCAGAGTTTCTCTATGGTCTCTTTTGTTTGCCTTTTCCAGTGATTCTCAAACTTTGTTTAACCGCCCGCTTAAGGAAAAATTGATTACCCAACGCCCCCTAGTAGCTTTTCGTGTAATTTTTTAACATAAATATAAGGAAATAATAATAACGTAGGCTGTTTAATGAACTTCTTGAATGAGTAAAATATCTAGACAATGTGGTCGCAACTGATTTTTAAAGTGCTGTTATACTTTCCACCGCCCACCGATTTTTATTTAGCGTATTTGAACGTGTACTGACGTGGATGTAAATTAATGAGCTTTGAGAAAAATAAATGTTGTGAATATGAAAATTAATACACCTTTTGGATGAAAAAATGTTTTAATGTTTTTGCTAATAGGTTACTATTTAAATAGTTTCTTGTGCCGCACGTATTAACTGTGTGTGGTGTTCATTTGTTAATTTAATTATGTGTACTTCTAACCTTTTATTGTACCGTCTACTGTGGCAACTTTACCATAAATTTTGACATTTTAGCAAACTGTTCCAACAGAGATACAGTTTTCTATGTTTTAATTGATTTAACCCGTAAAGCTTTCGCGTATTTATTCATACCTTGAACATGTTTTTGGTGTACCTTTATAAATAAAAATAAAAAGGTTCGATGAAACATCGTACAGTCGACATGCACCAGAGGCCATGCAAAGTTTTAAAAGCACTCATCCGCGTAACGGATAAAAGGGATAATCCGCCGTTGAGCAGCGTCCACGACCGCGGATCTGAGCGATGATCCGCCAATATCTCACTGTCTGCGGATCTAGGTTGACGGATCTATTCGCGTCGGCTGCTAACCAGCCCCATTATTAATGCGCGTCCTCGTCATTCTACCGAGGTAGGTAATAATAATAAAATATCTTAATAATATTCATTTATATGCAATGTATTATATCTTCGATGGCTCCGTGGTGCTGTCGCCGAGGTATCGGCTTCGGCGTCGGGGGTCGTGGGTTCGATTCCCACACGGGACAACTATTTGTGTGACCCACAAGTAGTTGTTTCGCATCTGGGTGTTTGTCCACGTGAAATTTATGTATGTAAAACGTCCTTACAACACAGGATAATAATATCCTAAAGTAAGGGCAATGTTTTCTCAAAAAAAATATCTATAATATGTTCATTTTTATTTATAAACCCAACCAGACGAGAAAACAAATAAATATCTGTATTCACATAGACGCTTGCGCGTTCTTATGAAACGTCAAAATTTTACAAAGAAATTAACAAGTTCGTAAGTTACCACCGGTTCGGAAAGCAGTTTCCGTTGAGAAGAAAACGGCAAGAAACTCAACAGTTGCTCTTTTTTAAAAGGTCAGTTTACAATATAATAGTACAGGTACAATAGTCTTGTTTTAGCCTACGTAGAGTATTAACAGTATTAACCCCACACATTGGCGTCGTCAAGATATTCCGCAATAGTATAATAGGCTTTAGCCATAAGTTTACTTTTAATTTTTCGTATAAATTCATCAACAGAAAATCGATAGAATCGCAGATCTACGATGGTGGATCGCAAACGAAAATTTAGACATAAATCACTGTGTTTAACTGTGGTAGGGCCACGCAACAGTTCAGCGTAATTCGATTATTACATTAATATTATAAAGGCGAAAGTTGGTATGTATGGATGGATGTTTGTTACTCTTTCACGCAAATACTACTGAATGGATTTTAACGAAACTTTACAATAATATAGCTTATGCATCAGAATAAGACATAGGGCCATAGGCTATAATTTATGTACATATATTATGTATATCTGTCTTTCTGTCTGTATGTTACGCCTTATTCTACGCAGACGTAGTCCCGGGCAGCAGCTAGTATAAACTAATTCTAGATATAGTTTGCTTAATAATTCAAGATATATACATAAAAAGTTTCCTTCCCCTTGGTATATAGGGCAGTAAGTAAGTAAGTAACAGCCTAGATATGTCCCACTGCTGGGCAAAGGCCTCCTCTATACAGAGGGCATCAGGGCATAGTCCACCACGCGGCCCCACTGCGGATTGGCGGACTTCACATATCTTCGAAATTTTTTTTTGTTATTATTTCGAAAATATGCAGGTTTCCTCGCGATGTTTTCTTTCATCGCGGAGCACGTGATAAGGCAGTAAAAGTAAAGTATATAGGGCAGTTAATTCAGCTAATCTCTCATATAGGACGGAAGATTCCAGTCCATTGGTTCGTGGATTATCCTTTGTAGGCATTGCAGCGTACAGAATGTTGATTGAAGCCTTGTATTGACGCGTCCTAGATTGTAAGAAGATCTTATAAACGGTCCACCATTTATTGTATTAAATTACTAATAATAATTAATAATAATAACATTTTCACCAAAAGCCACGTACAAAATTAAAGTAAATCTTATGCTATGTTATAAGTGACATTTTTGGTTGTGCACCGCTGGTGCCTGTGGTAGGTAATTCAAACCTGTATTACAGGTCACCAGGCCTTAACCTCAGAGCGCTTATTCTAGGTAATACAGAAGCAAATAGGAGTAAGTAATGGACTGAATTTCATGAAGAAGCATGACATTTTTATAATTTAGCGTTTTTGCAGATACGACATATTTATTATGAAAAACAGTCGATGAGTAACTTATAATATTTAAAAAGATGTGTGTGTGTGTGTGTGTGTGTGTGTGTGTGTGTGTGTGTGTGTGTGTGTGTGTGTGTGTGCGTGCGTGCGTGCGTGTCTGTGCGTGTGTGTATGTGTGTGTGTGTGTGTGTGTGTGTGTGTGTGTGTGTGTGTGTGTGTGTGTGTGTGTGTGTGCGTGTGTGCGTGTCTGTGCGTGTGTCTGTGTGTGAGTGTGTGTGTGCGTGTGTGCGTGTCTGTGCGTGTGTGTATGTGTGTGATAATTTTTGTAGTTTGTTGTATAATAAGCTAAGTACTATGTAACAACTACTCCGATTGGTTCAATATTGTTATTGATATTGTTGCCTTAATAAACGTAATTAGAGATACGTAGGGAACTCCTGAAAATAAATTACAAAATGAATACAGGGCGAGATGTTTGAAGTAGGTTTTGATTTTCGTTACTAAAAAAATTGACGAATTATTGACGATTGAATATATCTTGCTCTGTATTCATTTTCTCCGGAGCCCAAGGTCCAATACCAATGGGAAGCACCAGCTTTCAAAAGAAGTGTGAAGTTATACTTCTTTGGCACAACAAGGTACGAATGGTTCCGTACCATTGTCTATTAAAACGGCGAAAATATCGTGTCTGTTGTAAGAGAGCCCTACGTAAATATTTTTATTGTGTTATTTGGCATTTGCTGTTATAGCGGCAATAGTAATACATCATCTGTGAAAATTTCAACTGTCTAAATATCACGGTTCATGAGATACAGCCTGGTGACAGACGGACAGACAGATAGACAGCGGAGTCTTAGTAATAGGAACCCTAAAAGAGGTAACACAAAACTTCATAAGAGCTTGGAAATTGGACCGTATTTAAAAAAAGTTTTCGTTTACGCCTTTGACCGGTTGAACGCCAAACCATCTACAGTCTGTTAAATATGGGTTCATACGTGGTACATTGACATGACATACAAATATGAATCTCGTATATGTATAAGTTACGTACTTTTTTAAACAAAAAATTTACGTAAAACAATGTGGTACTTTATTTCGTAACATCACTTTAGTTTATTAATGGCAATGTCCCGAGTATCATCGTATATTTAACAAACAGTAATCTCGTCTCGTGGTAACATTAATTTTCGTATGGCACGAACGATGTAATCTGTTATTACTATGATGATTCGTTTATCGCATCCTTTGTGCGCGCAGCATAAGTGGGGTCGGCCCATTAACCGCGGCCCTGCATGTAACTAACGGCCGAAGTAATTTATATTGACTAATGGTCGGGATAGAGTGTGTTATTCTGCCGCATCTGAAGTAGACTGATTCATCTTTTGTGTAGCCCGCCGGAATACACTTTTAACCGACTTCAAAAAAGGAGGAGGTTTCTCAATCCAACCGTATATTTATATATATATATTTTTTATGTGTGTTCGTGGATAACTCCGTCGTTTATGAACCGATTTTGATGATTCTTTTTTGTCGGAAAGGAGGTATTCCCAGGGTGGTACCATGATAAGGTAACCCGGATCTAATGATGGCATCCCAGAGAAATCGAGTGCCATCATTGAATGTTATAGGTATTAAAGTTTAGCTTGGTGGCTAAAGCGTCAGGCCGCGAATTCCAAAGACGTGGGTTCGATTCCCACAGCGGCGAAAATCTTTTCGTACTTTTTCTACAAATTTCAATGTGAAAAGTTGCCAAGCGAGGTGGCGGTTCACCTGATGTTAAGTGATAACCGCCGCCTATGAACATCTGCTACACCCGAGGGCAGCAGATGAATTGACAGTATTCGGAAATTGAGCTCCGGCTACCTCACAGATGTAACGCGAAAGTATTATACTTCCACTTCACGCCGGTCTTCTGTGAGGTCGTGGTACTTACCCGGACGAGCCTGCCCATTCGTGCAACAGCCGAGACTGCTGCGTGGCCCTACCGCCGTGTCTTCCTCTTGAGTCACTCTATCTAGTTAAAAAAACCGCATCAAGATCCGTTGCGTAGTTTTAAAGATCTAAGCATACATAGGGACAGACAGACAGCGGGGCGACTTACTATGGCGACCCGAATGGCCTAGTGGGTAGTGGTATATCGTGAGATGAGCATAGTGTATTTCTAGTGTCTGGGTTTTTATTTATGTATAACATGTAAATAAATACATGTATTACATGCATTAATAAATACATGTTATACATGTATTTATTTACAAAAGAAAAGTATGTTTAAGTATGTCTATCAGTTATCTAGTACCCACAGTGCAAGCGTTGCTTAGTTTGGGACTAGAGAACGTAGCGTAATAAATGTGTCCTAAATTACTATGCAGTGAAACTGCTCCCGTTGTCCAGGATGCGGGGGACTATGTGTGCCAGATCTCGGACCGGATCTCCAGGGACCAGGTCCACACGGTGGAGGTCCTCGTGCCGCCCAGCGTGAGGTCCTCCCCGGAGTCGAGACACGCGGCCGCCCGCAGAGGGGGCGCGGCGGTGCTCGAATGCAGGGCGTCCGGCAACCCCGTGCCAACCGTCACCTGGCACAAACTGGTGAGTTGGCAACCGTTTACCACGCGTCTCCACGTATACTAGAGTAGTAGACTGAATAACGGTTAACAGTAACAGTTAAGTGTTGGCTCGGATTACTTTTTGAGTGAGTGGACTATCTTAATTAAAACTCGGGAAAGAGAGTGTCGCGACACTATCTTTATCGAGATTCTCTTCTAAAGATCGCGCCCATAGCATATTTTGAAATAATTGGTGGCAAGTAGGCGAACAGTTAATAATATGATGCCATTAATGAACTTTTCAGCGCTGTGGAAGTTGAGCCAGCTTTTGTATCGCACACAGATGTTTAAACGAGCAGACGGTTCACCTGATGTTACATAAATAAATAAATAAATAAATAAATAAATAAAAATATCTTTATTCACATAGACGCCTGCGCGTTCTTATGAAACGTCAAAATTTTACAAGAAATGAACACGTTCGTAAGTTACCACCGGTTCGGAAAGCAGTTTCTGTTGAGAAGAAACCGGCAAGAAAATAAACAGTTGCTCTTTTTAAAAAAAAAAATCAGTTTACAATATAATAGTACATGTACAATAGTCTTGTTTTAGCCTACGTGAGTATCAACAGTATTAACCCCACACATTGGCGTCGTCAAGATATTCAGCAATAGAATAATAGGCTTTAGCCATAAGTTTACTTTTAATTTTTCGTTTAAATTCATCAAGTGGCAGACTTAATATCGACTGTGGGATTTTATTATACATGCGCACACCTTGCCCCATGAACGACCTGTTTACTTTTTGTAAACGAAACAATGGCGTAGTTAGTTTGTCCTTATTTCTAGTATTTAGTTTATGTCTGTCACTATTCTTTAGATAACTATTAATATTATTTTTAACATACAAAATGTTACAATAAATATATTGAGACGCAACAGTGAGTATATTAATCTCTTTAAAAAGGTCTCTGAGTGTATTCCGGGCTCCGATGTTATAGATTGCTCGGACAGCTCTTTTTTGAAGAATAAATATAGAATTTATATCAGATGCACTACCCCACAACAAAATGCCGTAAGACAAGATGCTGTGGAAATAACTGAAATAAACAAGTCTGGCAGTGTCGATGTCTGATAGCTGCCTAACCTTCCTAACTGCAAAAACAGCGGAGCTTAACCTGTTCGCAAGAGATGATAGATGGGGACTCCATTGGAGCTTTGAATCCACTGTAATTCCCAAGAATACAGCGGACTCAACAGGATTAAGGGTTACGCTATTTAATGTTAAGCTAAATACATGAATACCGCCACCCATTGACATCAACAACCGATGGCTTGCTGTTGCGTTGCCATCTTTAAATATGGCAAGCCCCGGCCACCTCAGTCAAAGTCGCAGAACCGAATCGCAGAAGTATGACACTTCCTTGAAATCACACACCTTGAATAAGATGTTGCGTGGCCCTACCGCAGTAGGAACTCGTCCAAAGTGGGGAATAAAATATCGATTTTCCACAGGTCGACGCTTACAGCGGACACCAGAACGAGTCCAACGTCCGACTGGCCGATGGGCCGCAGCTCCAGCTCTCGAGGCTGGAGAGGTCGAACAGCGGGCGGTACGCGTGCACCGTGGACAACGGCGTGGGGCCGCCCCTGGTGACGGAGTTCCAACTCCAGGTCCTATGTGAGTTGCACCCATATCCATGACATCCGTAAAGAACTAAGTGTGAACAATTTCCTCCAGTCTATATGTGAGTTGCACCAATATCAATGACTTCCGCAATCAAATAACTGTGAAATTTCATCCAGGTCCCATGTGAGTTGCACCCATATTAATGGCATCCGTAAACAACTATGTGTGAACAGTTTCCTCCAGGTTTATTTATTTATAAATCCATACTTAATATTATAAATGCGAAAGTAACTCTGTCTGTCTATCTCGCTTTCACTCCAAAACTACTGAACCGATTTAAATGAAATTTGGTACACAAATAGTCTAGAGCCTGCGAAAGGACATAGGCTATTTTTTAATTCGAAAACAAAAGTGTTGGTTTGGTTGAAAGATATTCATTTAAGGGCTACAATGCGAGCGAAGCCGCGGGCGAAAGGCTAGTTATAAATAAATAAATAAATACAAATACAATGCACACAAAATATGTACAGAGGCGGACTTAATGCCGACGAATTTAATTGGGTGGTCCAGAGAAGTTTAAGTGGGTGCATTGGTTGTAAAATGGAAAAAAAAATCCCCCAAGTTCGATGTGAGTTGCACCCATATCATTAACCACAAACGACTATATGTCCTATGTGACTTGCGCTAAGTGTGATCAATTTCAAGCATTTAGAGAAGCTATCCTTTTTCTTAACATGGGACAAATTCTTTATGGACCATTATTACCACTATTTGATAATGAAATATGTCTACAATATGTAATAGTCCACAAACACAACATATAGGAGTCTGTCGTAATATTTTGTCTCGAGCAAGCTCCAAAAGAGAAAAAACAAGAATTTCAGCTCGACACAGATATCAGGAGATGTGAATATAAATTTGTACTGAATATATAACATTTCAGTTGCGAACTTGTTTCACATTAACTCAATTAGCGGGACGAAATCTCAGGCCTCGAATAGACTAACGAAATAACTCATTAATTTCAAACGGCGCGGGTTTTCGTAAGGTGGGCATTGTTTCATTAAATAAAACATTATAAATAGTTTGTTTTACAACCGTATGTTTGCTCGGAGCACCTAATTGGGCCGGATTGTTGCGAATTTTCGCGTGAGGAGCAGAGGGCGAAGGGTTGGCCGCAAGGGTAAATTGCTCATTCCGCGCTCGGAGAAAATCTACGCAATCAAAATAAAACGTTCGCAGGCCGTTTGCGTGCGACGCTTTACAACACTAGTTCACCCACGCGGCTCCGCTCGGTTGCACGAATAGAACTATTTATGCAATAAAAACGTGCTTATTATTACCATTGTGTACTTATGTACGCACGTAAAAAGCTGTACTTCTTTAGCGTAACAAAAGAAAAATAAGTTTTTGTGAAAAAGACATTAAATTCAATTGAAAACGGTTTAACTAAATAACTTGGAATTATAACTCGAAAAAATGTTATTGGTTGCCATGGCAGTACCGTGAAGTTGGTCACTTTGTTTTTTTTTTTTTTTTTTTTTTTCAAATAACTTCATCGTGTCGTTTTTGACTGTGAAGTGAGCGCGCATCGTGAACAATTTTTTGGCGCGTTTGGAAAACATTTAACCCATTGCAGGAGTTAGTTCACGAATATTGATACATAAATAATTCATCGCTGACATAATATTCGTCCAATATGTCAGCTCAGACATCGTATAATCACCAAACTATATTCGCGAGATAAGCGATTGAGATACAGATGTGTTACCAACCTTTATGATAGTTGAAACCGGTTACTTAGGAGTTTTACAAATAAACTTATTTACTCCTACGAAATACACCTATAGCTACTTTTGGATAATGTATCTCATGACCGGTCAATGTGTGTAGAACTAGAACCGTTTCAGTAATTTACTGCGCCTTACACACAAACAGACAAGTTTCACCCTTGTACAATATTAGCGATCCCAACTTTATAGTCCGGCGGTATGTAGGGGCGGTCGAAAATTGTAGTATCAAAATCCTCCGGTGCTTTTAAGGCGACCCGTATTTAATACCGTCATGTGGGTCGTCACTAGGCGTGCGAGCGAACTAGTTGTTCGGAAAAGCTCAACTCGTTTCAGTTGCGTTTGGCAACTTAATACGGGCTATTTGTAATTTAGGATATTAAGGGTGGATTCAACCAAACTAAAATTTATACACGAGTAAGTAATACTAGGAATACTATTCCATGATTTTAATCTCGAGTAAATCCATAGTCGTTTCTCCACGTAATCGATAGTATACTTGCGCTAGGAATAACAATACGCGAATAGCAGAGTGAATGGTGAACGAAAATAAAACCCGGCAAATAAATGTTGTCCTACAACGGGATAGTGTTAGAGCATTCATCACATCAACTCGATTTTGCCGTATTATAGTGTGAAAAAGTAGCCGTAGTGTAAGCTAGCTAGCTGTCAAACGTGTTCGAGGGAATTATCAAGTTTTCGATAGCAGAAACAAAGTGACCTCATCGCAAAATCATAGTCATCATAATATTCAAATAAGTCATTTCTTTCTTTTAACCATCTTGGACGTCTAGGTATAATTTCCTCATCACTATTACTATCATCAATCAAATTGTTTAAACGTTGCATTATACAATGCTAGACTATTAATTTAGTGCGTTGCGTTGACTTGAAATTAAAAGACAGAATAAATATTTGTGAAATGACAGAAATCAGATGATTGGACTGACTGACGCCATTACATTATTCTAGGGATGGCTCAGTTATTCCGTGCGAAACGGTAGTATAGTAACGATTCCGGAATAAGCCCACTATTCTTAGAATTGTAGATGGTAAAACGTAAAATTTATTTACTCTCGAGTAACTGACGATTTATTCTATGATTAAGTTTTACTCTTGTACGGTCGAATCCACCCAGAACTGGCGTATATCTCTTTTAGAAACTGTTTTTATGGCCACGCAAAATCTGTTGCACGAATGGGCAGGTCCGTCCGGGACGTGGAAGTGTCATACTTCCGCGTCTCGTCCGGTGAGTGAGGTAGCCGGGGTGCACACTTTTACAAGTTATCAACGCATCTGCATGCCATCGGGTGTTGCAGATGTCCATGGGCGGCGGTATTCCATTAACATCAGTTGAACCGTCCGCTCGCTTGGAACTTTTCACGTAAGAAAAAAAAACCGGCCAAGTGTGATACGGACTCGCTGACGAAGGGTTCCATACCATTACCTTTAAAAACGTAAAAAAAAATCGTAACTGTATTGGAGCCCAACTTAATTTTTTTTAGTATTTGTTGTTTTAGCGGCAACATACTTACGTCATCTGTAAAAATTTCAACTGTCTAACTATCACGGTTCATGAGACAGCCGGGTGACAGACGACCAGACAGACAGCCAAACAGACACTAGAATATTAGTAATAGGGTCCGATTTGAACCTTTAGTTGCGGAACCCTAAAAACACTGCTTTCGCCTTAAGCAATGATTACTGTCGCGAACGACAATACGATAATTAGTAACTTCTTGTATTTAAGCGATTACACAATTATTAAATAAAACTATGTTTACGGATTTATCGCGTTTATTTTAGTTTTAGTACCCGTTTCGAACCCTTTACAGCGTTCATGGTCACGGGACAGACTGCTTGTAAAGGATTCGAAACGTCGGGTACTAAAACCAAAATAAACGCCATAAATCCCTAAACATAGTTCCATTTATTAAAGAAAAAACACGTTCATACCTTTTTCTTCTCAATGTGTCGACGGCTCTTCTTTTCTTTTTTCCTTTTATCCATTTAAAAGTCATGTCCTTTCATTCATTTAAAATATATTCACAAATGTTTACACTGAGTACTACAAACTCACAAACAATAAACCATACAATTGTAACGATTGTGTGTTTGTCCGTATGAAATTTATGTTTGTTGAACGTCCTTACAACACAGGAGAATGATATCCTAAAAGTCAATGTTTTTGATAAAAAAAAAATTTTTATTTACTTTCGCCCGGTGACGTTGTGTGCATATAACATATAAAATACCATAGACTCTCTGAAATTATTTGACAATGATAGTCTGATCCTGAATATATATATGTATATATATATATATATATATATATATATATATATATATATATATATATATATATATATATTTCTTCTGCAGATCTTCTAAATATAAACTTTAACTATGCCCAATCTCAGACTCCTCCGCGCGCAATATTCTTAATAGGGATCCGAAGTTTCCGTTTCAACTTTTATAGTCTGTGTTGTAGCTCGGTACGGGTGACAGGTGAGAGTTTGACATGAATACAGATTGAACAACTTTTACTTTTAGTCGAATTAGTAAGTATTAGTAAGTTACGATCGGTTCTCAGGGCCTTATACTTAGTATATATTATAAACAGTAAAAATATCCTATAAATATAATCCATTGATATTCATTTTCCCAATTTTATCCCTTGATATCCATTTTATACAAATCCCGATTTTAAATTAAAAAAAAAAAAACAATTTACTCGAATTTCTTTTATCGTCTGTGGTAAAACGACCCACTACCCGGGCGCTCCTAACAATAAAATACAACATTGCATATAGCACATTGTAGCCTTAGAAATTACGTAAAAACTTGTTAAAGCATGATTTCAATGACAGCTGTCACCCGCACCAAGGCAAAAAGAACAGACATATACAAAATAGTATTGTTACGCATCTTTGATATATGCTGACTGGATATGACTTTTCTGAAAAATGTAGCCAGCCATATAAATAATATTTTCCCTTCTGGAGAATAATAGGACTGCAGTATCAATTTCTTTACCTACCATTTGACGGATCGCCAGGGTTTTTTTATAAATAAATATGCGAGTGTAGAGAATAGTTTCGCTCGTACGATTTTTACTCCATCTTCATCACTGTTCAAGTGACGGGTTCTGCTAGTAAACAATTGAATAAAATACGACTATAAACTATACATGAAGGTATAGACATACACTAAACAAAAGGAAATATTTCGCATGAGACGGTGCAGCGTTAGCAAGATTCT